GGGAGTAACTCATCCATTTTGTTTTTAACTCATCCGTTTTGTTTTTATGAAGTTTTATTAAGCCTGCATAATTAGGGGCGTGGCCATTTGAGTGACAGCTAGGTATCGCTGCTCGCCGTCAGGTCACTTCAGCTGATTCCGACTGATTAGCCGCTGAACTTGGCATATACATCGTATTTTTGTTTTGTTGTATGTCGCTTTACACAGTCAATTGCCTTTTGGAACTATTTGCTACAATTATCAGACACTATCGCATGCTGGGCACTATTCTGCTCACAAACCGTTCAAGTTGCCTCCATTTCCCAGGTGAGTGAAACTATATACGTATATACCGTCTCTATAAATGTATTTGTTTTACTTAAGTATATACATTTCTTGACCTGTAATGCCCTCCACAATCTGACAGATTTATTAGCTGTGAGCTCTAAGAACAGTTGTCATACAGTGTTATGCCTGGATTTTATCAATAGCCTTGCGTTTACTAACACTATATTTGAAAGTGATTTGCGCTTTTCTAATGTTGACGTTTCTAATGTATTGTTTTCACTGATTCAATGTATTCAACAGTGTTTTTAAAAGTCTAAACACTTTACTGATATAGTGTACAACCAAGCACAAGTGGTCAGAACACAAAGGAGTCGTAGGTAATGAAGTAAAAAACATTCCTCCCTAAGAAAAGCCCTTTTAAGCGAAAGGCTAGCAGGCGTCTGTAGCTCCGCTCACGATCCGCGTCTTTGCCCTTGTTTAGTGGCAACGGTTGACCACGCCTAAGTGTAGCTTCTTTTGCGTTATTCAAAAACCAATGGGTGACGTCACGGATACTACGTCCATATGTTTTACAGTCTATGGTGGAACCCAGTATTTTCTTTTACAGTGTAGGCTTAAGGCTGGTTTATACTTCTGCTTCAATGTTTGCCGTGACCCATTGTGCATGCCTTGAACGTAGTCGTGCATTTATACTTCTGTCTTTTTTCTGAGCGGTACCTTAATGTGCAAGTAGCTAAAACTTGCTCATTCAGAGGCAGGAACCGGGAGACGTGCAACAACTTTAATCACAAGGTGAACTCAAAACAAAAGTTTCCATTTGGAGCTCCTTCGTTACTTGTAAACGCTCGCTCCAATAGGCTTGCTGCTCTCAGCACCGCACTCACTCCTCACAGATCCCACACTGACCAATCACAGAGCTTCTGCTAAGCGTTGTTGCGAAGTGTAGTTAAATTATTTAAGAGGTGCAGGTCAGCCACGGTGAGGGCTATGCGAATGCGCGAAGTCTGTGCCAAAGCATACGCGTGCGCTTGACGCAGAAGTATAAATCAGCCTTTAGTATCCTTTTTAACTGCACTAAATAGTTTTGTGTCGATTGATTTGTGTTCGGTCAACCTAAAATAATTACGTTAACTTACTATTTTTTAAAAATTTAAGTGGATTGAACATAAAACAATTAAGTTATTAATTACAATGTTAGTTTGACCAAACAGACAAATCTTTTTTGTGTAAGTAAATTTAAAAAAATAAAAATAAAAAATCTATTCACTATGTATACGGGGAAGTGGTTTGTCTAATTCAGTCATACAGTTTTTAAAATAAAATTAATTAGGAAGGAAATAAGGAAATAACTGGTTAGTTTTAACAATTTAGTGCAGTTAAAAAGGATACTAAGTCTACACTGTAAAAATAAATGCTGTTTCCTTTATGTTGTCCTAATGCAAATTGATCAAGTTAATTTAAAAGTTTTAACAATTTTAAGCTGACTGAACATAAAATAATCAAGCTGTCCCACCAAAATAATGTGTTGTCAAATCATTTTTAACAAGTTTAAACAAGCACCAAATACTGTTTTTTGAGTGTACATTGTAAAATATGCTTAGCTCCACATAATTCATTCATGTTGTCCCAACACAAAATGATTTAGTTAACATAACAAATTTAAGTGGATTGAACATTAAAAAAGTTTTGTGTTGTTTGAGCTCATTTTAAATAATTAGTTTAAACAAGCAGCAAAAATCATTTTTGAGTGTACAGCATGTTGAGGAAAAACAATTATGTATTATATCATTCATTCATTCATTTTCTTTTCGGCTTACTCCCTTTATTAATCTGTGGTCGCCACTGCGGAATGAATCACCAACTTTTCCAACATATGTTTTACGCAGCGGATGCCCTTCCAGCGGCAATCCATCACTGGGAAACATCCATACACACTCATTCGCACTCATACACTGCACTCCATTTTAGCTTGACCTATACATCATGTTTTTGGACTTGTGGGGGAAACCGGAGCACCCAGAAATGCCAACTGATCCAGCTGAGGCTCGAACCAGCGACCTTCTTGCTGTGAGGCGATTGTGCGACCCACTGCGCCACCATGAAATCCTTATGTATTATATCCTTTTGTTTCATTTTTAAAAAAAAATGTCGAATGATCTGACCAAAGGATGAAATTATGTTTAGAAATAATATGCTTTCAAAAAAGGTACAAAAAGCTCATGATTTTTTTTATTTGGCACCGTACACTGCAAAAAATCCTAGTTGCCTTGAATTTTTAAGCTGAATCAAATTTATGAGTCCATTAAACTTACATTATGTTAAACAGCTTGTGTAACTTATAAAACTAAGTTTGAACATGATCACCTTAGTTTAATAAACTACAATAAACTAAAAACATATGTTGTCATGAATAATTGACCATATAATTTGCTGGGTTCCACATAATCGATTTGTGTTGGGACATCATGAAGGAATTAAGTTAGCTTATTTGTTTTTACAAATTTAAGTAGATTGAACTTAAAACAATTAAGTCGGCCACCCAAAAATACTCCAGAATTGTGTTGTTTCAAGTTATTTTAAATAAGCAGTTTGAACTAAAAGCAAATGTAATTATTTGAGTGTGGCCAGGATATGCAGTATCACTGCAATAATATATACAGTCAAGCCCAAAATTAATTATACCCCTGGCAAATTCTGACTTTTTTTGTTCAAAAGTTTTTGTTCAAATGTAAATAAAAGCTGAGACATATTTTGTCCACAATGATGTCTCTTGTACATCATCTCATTGTCTTTGGGACAAGCCTGTGTCATTAAAAACTTGTTGGTTGAATAAAAGTGACTTTTAAGTTAGAATCTGCCAGGGGTATGAATAATTTCAGACTTGACTAAATCTTTTACATCTTGTTTATTTTACTGTTATTATTCAATTATGCTCAGTTAAAGTTTATTTGTATAGTGATTTTTTACAATATCGTTTTAAAGCAGCTTTACAAAATGTGCACATTATTGCATTAAATCAAATTAGGTTAAAGCCATATTTTATTTTATAAGAAGGACAGAATTGGGCTGATATGGTCATATTTTCTTGACCTGGTAAAAACTCTGGCAGCTGCATTTTACTAACTGAAGTTTATTAAGAGAGGATACTGGGAAACCAGCAAACAGAGCATTACAGTAATCTAGCCTAGAGGTCATTAAAGCATGAACTAGCTTATAAGTGATTCTGTTTATGAATGAAAGGTTATTTCATAATGCCTCAAATCAATGTTAACTTGCATGTAACAGACTTTTCTGGCTAAAGAACAAATATAAACTAATATCTAATCAGTGCAAACATGTAAATTGCTATAAAAAGTGTAAGATATTTACATTTATTTTCAACCAGTAGAACATTTTTATTAGGGTGGCAGAGGGCAGTGGCTTAGTTATCTCAAGATATCTTAAGATTATGAATACTATTAAAAAGTTATTAAATATTGAAATAACTGTTTGATATATTAAGAATATTCAGTTATTAACCTGTATGTGCACTTTAGTCTATGGTGATTTGGTTATGATTCTGCTAAATAAAACTATTAATGTCAAAATTAACAAAAAAATGTATCTTATAAAAATTAGTTTGTTTTAAAACCTAAAAAAAATGGGTAAGCCTTGATCTTACTATTACAATATGCCGTACTTTGTAAACAGATTTTGAACGTTTTAATTTTAATGGCAAATAGGTACTGTGACTATTTAAAAAGTAATCAGTGAAAAAATTAAATTTTAATCCTTTTATATCAATTATAAATTTAAAGTCAATTATAATTAAATTCCTTAATACAAGAATTATTGCAAGAATTAATAATAACTGTAATAATGTTAAGCAGAAGTATTAGTAGTAATAAGCCCCATTACAATATGTAAGATAACAATTGACTCTGAACTATATTTGGTGGTTCATTCCACTGTGGCGACCCCTGATAAATCAGGGACTAAACTGAAGCAAAATTAATAATTAAATGAAGGCATAAATTATATTTCTCTAAACGTGTTAACGACAGCAAAGTACTGTAAATGAAAACATATGTAAAATATTACAATAGGAAAGATTTATCCCACTTTACAGAAACGATAAATTTAATCCTCCACATTTAAAAAATTAGGAAAATTATTTAAAATCAATTATAAAGGAGAAATCAATTAAAAATCTATTATTTTCCAGAATTATTGCTGCATTTAATAGTTATGATAAACAGTATTAATGCAAAAACAACACACACATAATAATAATTATAATAATAATACATTTATATCTGGTCATTTAGCAGAAGATTTTGTCCAACCAACTTACAAATTAGGTTATAATAATAATAATAATAATAATAGCCAAAAAAAATTTTTAGTTAAAATTTAAAAAGACAGATGAAAGAATTGACCACATATAAGAAAAAAACTTCAAGTTAACATGAAAACGCAGCTACAGAGCTCTTGTCTAAAACGAAGTAGAAATGAAGCAATAATAATAGTAATAAAGCCAAATTACTTTAAATTGCTGGTATTTTCATAACTTTACGATCAAATAAAAAACCGACAAATGAAAGAATTGACCACCACACATAAAAAACAAACAAAGCTGACATGAAAACGCGGCTACAGAGCGCGCAAAAAGCTGCGTAAAAGTTTGCGTAAAGGGCGCAATCTGAAGTTTTACACATACATTTATAGGAACACATTATTGCACAGTTACTAACCTCCTTTTGTACTCGTCTCTCTCTCTCTTCACCTTGGCGAGCACATTATACAGGGCCCGAATCTCCGGTGTGATGGTGTCGATCTGGACACCCACTCCGTCAGGAGGCACCCATGAGGAGGACACACCAGGACCCGAGATCCGCGACTCACGGCCGGTGCCGAACCTCTGATTGTACGACCACGCAGACCCAGGGTGAAATCTGGGAGGAGGGTTGCTGGTGCAGCCGATCACAGTACTGACATACTTCCCGTTAATATTACTCAAGGGCTTTGGAGCGGGATCAATCGGGCTGATGGGGAAATTTGGGGTGAGATTGGAATTGGAGTCTGTCAGTTTGGACGGGTTTAGAAAGTTTTCGACTGCTGTCCTGTTAGTGGGCTCGAGAGGGATGATGGGAGTCGGAGACAGCAGGCTTCCAGACAGATACGCAGTGTCGTTCGCGTTCTGGATGGGAATCAAATCTGGCCTGATGGGAATCAATCCAACGAAGCCCGTCTGGACCCCCACATCTCGCGTCAAAGGCTTTTTAGTCTCCGCGCACTCCGCGTTTTCGTCCAAAGCCTGTTGCAGTTGCTTTTCCAATACTTTATTCCGGCGTTCCAGTTCGTGGACTTTGGCTAAAAAGCAGCGAAAGCGCAGGTTCAGAGTTTTGAGGACGCTAATGTTGGATCCCAGGTCGTTCCGCAGGGCCGTGGCGGCAGGAGGAGGTGGAGACACCCGGTGCAGATAGTTACCCAGGTGCAGATACGGCGATCCCGGAGGCGGTAAAGCGCCCATGTCCAGCCCATCCTGCCCGATGCCACCCGTGTGCTCGCTCAGGTAGAGGCCCGCTGGGTCTGTCCAGTGGCCCGAAGACGCGGAGTCCGCGAAGCCCGTAAGCTGGTTCTGCTGGAACGAATACACGTTCTCCCCCAATACTGGATTCATTCTGGAGTAGGAAAATCTGAAATGCTCAAAGTCCGGCATGAACACTGATTTAACCGCGTGCCTTCAATGCCGACCTCTGAAGTTAATAAACTGAACACTTGTGGGACCGAATCAACGACTGACGCCTTCGATTATCACTATGACAGTCTATAATATAGGACAAGGACGAGTTACGCGCATCTGCATGCCATTTGTTAATACATTACCTTAACAGACGCTGTTTATTTTCTTAGAGAGGATTAAATGCGTCTTCGTAGCGGAACAGCCAAGCTCCAGAGCAGAAATAAACACGAAAGGAGCAACTGCGGCTCCTTCTTACCGGGATTATTTAATATAGAGCCCCTCAGTTGTGCGCATCGCACCGGCTGGTGCGCTTCCACAAACGTCGATGACTTAACAGTTTAATCGATGCAGTTATAATGACATTTAACACCAACGGCTGTTCCTTAGTGTTTAATCGCGCAATATTTTAGCTCATTATTTTTGCGTGTGCGTTTGCGTTTCTGTGATTTACGGTAGTAAAGGTGCATCTTTACATCACTGACTGTGATTGGCAAAGGCAGAGGGATCCAAATCGCGTGCAGCGTCTCTGTACTGTGGCTGTATTATTTTCCAGACCTTCTGTTAGTTTTGTACAAGAGCAGGATCCAAAATAAAGACTGCATATAAAAATGCAATTTTAAAAGAGCTCCATTTTTAAAGTAGTATTTTGTGACCTATAAAAAAATATGGTAAAATTATTCTTTTTTCTATCCAAATACATTTAAGTTGGCTTCATAGCAACTTTTAAAAGTTGGTTGGAAAGCCAAGCATGACTCAGAAAAGCAAAACAGAGAACTTCATTGTGTGCCTCAAGATCACCCACATTAGCATATGCATCTTGATCATGACATCACAATAATAAGTAAACAGTTGTATAATAGTTTATTTTTCTCACAGTAAGTTGGCTTTTAAAAGATGTTTGCTGTGTTTATCATCCAGTCTCTACAAATGAACAAAAAATCATTTAATATTGTAAATTAATTAATTTAATATATTTAATAATATTGTAATAATATTGTACAATAAAAAAAATCCTTTAATTTTATAAATACTTTCTTAAACTTTTGTCCATATAGGTTATCATTAAAACAAAACAAACAAACTTGCCTGTGGTGTAAGGAAGATTATTTAACAAAATATTTCACAGAGTGAAAGTCAAAAGGTTGAAGTATAGTTCACTAAACACTACAAAATTGTATTTACTCACCCTTGGTTCTGAATCTTTAGTTTCTTTTTTTCTGTTGAACACAAGATAAATGCTTCTGTTGAATTTCAAAATATTTGGAATGTTTTAGACACCTCTAATATTGACTTCCATAGTGAGTAAAACAAACAGTATGAAAGTCAGTGGTTAAATTAATTTTCTAACATATTTCAAAATACATTTTTCTTTTGTTATCAACACATAAGGAAACTCAAGCAGGTTTCAGACAAGTAAAGGGTAAGTAAGGGGCTAAACAAACATGCTTTTCAGTTCTGAAAACATGAGGCACACCGCACTGCCTTTTTGTTGACAGTGCACGGCGCTTGTTACGTTGAAAGTAGAGGATAACATATTTTCACTCCTGTCCCGTCCCACTCCCACAGAAAGAAATCTTGTCCAGTCCTACTCCCAGATCAAAGTTTTAAAAAATTCTCCTGTCCCATCCTGCTCCTGGTAAAATGACTTCCACTCCTATCCCGCTCCTGTTTAAAATGACTCCCGCTCCTGTACTGCTCCCATACATGTATTTTTTTCTTCATTTAGTCTTTAGGTAGATTAGCTGCTGAGTCCCCGTTTCTAGATTTTCTGGAGATCAGTTACAGTAAATTAAAACAGTACATAGTTCACACTATGTCTACAATAGTTTAATAAACCCAAACAGTACATAAAGCTGCATTTTACTAATTTATTGAAAAGTGTTTTAATTAATAATTTTCATCCAATATGCTCTTGCATAATGAAAGAGAGAAAAGCAGCACTGCACAATTTAAGCATATTGATTAAACATCGACAAATTTTGAAAATAAAAAATCAAATAACCAGAAACAAAAGTTATACACACATACATGCGCATATATATATATATATATATATATATATATATATATATATGGGTGCTCCGGTTTCCCCCACAGTCAGACATGCGGTACAGGTGAATTGGGTAGGCTAAATTGTCTGTAGTGTGTGAATGTGTGTGGGTGTTTCCCAGAGATGGGTTGCGGCTCGAAGAGCATTCGCTGTATAACAACTTGTTGGATAAATTGCCGGTTCATTCCGCTGTGGAGAACCCGGATTAATAAAGGGACTAAGCCGACAAAAAATATATATATATATATATAACTTTTGCATCTGCTTATTTGATTCAAATTATTAAATCAAATAATTAAATATATTAAAACACTCAGTATGATTCTGGTTGTATAGAGAAAGTTGAGCACATGGAAAAGTTACCAGTAGATATTCCAGTTCTCATCACTCACAACTATACATGCATACAATAATTCTTTTAGTTTCAGTTTATAATTTTTTTTAAACTCTGGCTTAAAACAATGAACCTATGATGGTTGTGAGCAATTTGTCGGTCAGACAAGACCGATGGCAATTGTACCTACATTGTAGGCATAATTAAAAGAAAACTACAATAGGCGGTGCAATTTTTTTTTTGTCATCTTCCTATTGGTTGATTCCCGCTCCCGTCTGCTCCTGTTAATATTTTATACTGTACCGTCCCAGTCCCGTGATTAATAGCAAAGATGACTTCAATTCTGTGGGAATCCCACATGAATCCCGTGACCAGTGGGATTCCTGAAAACATGTCATCCTCTAGTTAGAAGACCACTGTATCAGTCTTGGCGCCGGAGTGCATGACATTGGGTGCATTTTCTGCACAGATTTGACTTTTTTCAACTGTCTATTCTGACGTCAAAAATGCAAGATGCAGTAGGTGGTTAAAACATGAGCCACCTGGATCGCATAAACAGCATGCAAAACAATCACTGCAATTAGAAAAAGCGCTTCTTACTGAAAAAAAAAAAAATACATATATATATATATATATATATATATATATATATATATATATATATATATATATATATATATATATATATATATAAATTTAAATTAAATTAGACAATTCCATGGGCCCTGATAAAAGCTCGGACTTAATAAAGGATCACAGATTTGTGCTGAGGTGTAGGATGTCCAAAAGGACTGCATAGAGGTGTTAAATATGCAGAACGAACAGACTTTATTAATTCATTCGTTTTCCTTACGGCTTAGTCCCTTTATTAATCTGGGGTCACCACAGCAGAATGAACCGCCAACTTATCTAGCATATGTTTTACACAGCGGATGCTCTTCTAGCTGCAACCCCTCTCTGGGAAACATCCATACACACTCATTCACACACATACACTATGGACAATTTAGCCTACCCAATTCCGAACAGACTTTATTTAAAGGTAATTAAAAGTTACTGCAGATAAAAAACAAACACATGATTTATCAACTTCCCTATAGTTGACTAATATACAAAGAATTGTGACCATTTTGGACAAGTTTTCTAAAATATTATGTTCACTTGTGCAAAAGTGATGCATTATTTAATTATGCAGTAATTTATATACATACACAGCACAAATATCCGAACATTGGATGAGGTCAGCAGTGTTACTTTCAAGTTATTGTCTTCACTGAGTTGTATGATAGAAAATAATAGGTTCAGATCCAGTGACTGTGACTCATAAACTTCACGGCTAAATCTACACATAATGACATGCTGGGTAAAGTCATCTGAGATCACAAGAGGAAAGATGAAGTGATGATTACAGGCTTTTTGCAGGTCTACTGGCAGCTCTATGACACTGAACACTGAGACTTGCAATAGCAACAAATCACAGAGTGCATATATGGATTATTTTTAAGCAAACAGAGCTTGAATAACAAAAATTTCCCAGAAATTAAAATTTCAGGAAATTTTTGTAATTCATTTTCTGTTATTTTACAATAAATTTCTGTAACTTAACGGCCGTTATTTTATGTGTCTTTTCCTGCCAGAAATAAATCGTTAAATTACAGATTTTTTTTTTTTTACAGTGCAGGGCGATGTGTCACTGCATACTGTTTATCATAGACTTCTTTGTAAACGGCTGTGTTCACGATTATGACCCTCCAAGTAACTGTACACCTTTGGCCCCAAGATCATCAAGATTGGACCGCTAAAGGTCCAACAAATCACCAGCAGAAACAACAGTGGTGACTAGAGCCCCTTTCACACAGTGATACCGGTAAATATCCGGAAAATTTCCGGAACGACTTTACCGGTATCTTCAAAAAAGCGCTGTTCACACAGGCGAGGACGTTACGGAAATTTTCCGGAAAAGAGCATTCACACATCCATTCCAAAATACCGGTAAATTCTGACATCATTCACCACAAATGAGCTTTAAATGGCTGCGCTTGTATTTGTAAACATTTGACTACATCACAAACTCTGTGGAGGATCAATATTGTGAACAACTTTCGCAGGATCACTTTTGCATGTCGAGATGTTCATAATATGTGCGTGTGCAGGCGCTCACAGGCTGTTTCACAGGCACAAGCTTGAAGGTAAACAAACAACGGCTTATCATAAGCATCTCATCGATGATTATTTACACAGTTGGCATTAAGAAGAACATATAAACTTGATCTGACTAACTTCTAGCAGCTAAATGTGTCTGGAAAAATATTCAAAGGCTTTTATTCTCACAAACCGCGCGGACGTAAATGCGTCTGACTGTTGTGATTGGCTAAATCAGACGTCTCACGTCAGCACGTTCTAGACGTGCACGCGCTTATTACGGCAATCTTCCTTCTGCATTCACACAGCGCAGCATTCCGGCAAATTACCGGTAATGTTACAACTTCTCTTTCCGGAAAATAGCCAGAACGAATTTACCGGTATTTTCAAAAAGGACCTGTTCACACATACAACCTTTCCGGAAAATTGCCGGCAATTTTCCGGAAAGGTCTGTATGTGTGAAAGGGGCTATTGGCATGATAGCATCACGCAGTCGCAGATTTGTTGGATGCAACAGAAATCGAGAATCATCAGACCAGGCAATGTTTTTCCAATCTTCTACTGTCTAATTTTGGTGAGCCTGTGTCACTGTAGCCTCAGTTTCCTCTTCTTAGCTGACAGGAGTGGCACCTGGTGTGGTCTTATGCTGCTGTAGCCTATCTGTCCAACCCAAGCTCATTCTGAAAACGTAGTCCCGCGGACGTTTCTGGAGACAGCGGAATACGCCCCGGGAGGTACGTACGGCTGCATTTATTTTTTTCAGGCGAACGCTACGGGGCGGTGTAACGCTGTTCCCTTTTGACGCTTACCTCCTTGTGGAGGGCTTCCCCGCTGAAACCCGTTTGTCCACTCAGCTCACCGTGTACGTTGGCAGGCTTGAGATGCAGAGAGGAGTTGACCACGGCGATCTGTTTCGAGTCCGGGGAAGAGCGGTTCCAGCAATCAGGATAAGACAAAAACAGAATCCTAAAAATTAAGTGAACGAGTTTCGTA